ACTAATCTTTTTCATATTCTGAAGCAGATGCTGGAAACGATGTCTGTTTGGTAAACATCGGGAGTAGACTCTGTATGGCTACATCAGCATGCTATTGTGCTAATCCTGCTAGGCTGAATTGCCTTGCATGTTTTTGTAAGTTTGGTTTTGTGAGGTGCTTTTGCTGAACCATGGTTCAGTAGCTTGGGCCATGGGTACACAGCATAGCATCTTGTACCTCTTGTTTTCACCTCTAACTAAACTAACTCGTTTGCATCTACATATACTAAAGCAAAAGAAGCAAAAGTAGGAAAAAGAAAAGGTTAACAAAGCGCATGGATAGTGTCCAAGCAAGGAACCTTGGAGAGATGCTCTGTGGGGAGGAAGGGAAAGCAATGTATTGCCCATTACACCCCTCCATCCATCTATCGATCTGCCATGGCATTCTCAGCTCCTCCGAAAGCCGGAGCTCTGCCGCCACCGGCGTGAGACCGTCTTCAGTTTCGAGCGAGGGGATCAGGTGACGCATCTCTTCGCCTATCATATCTCTGTGCATAGGAATGCCACATGTAATTAAGCTGCTTTTGGTTTTTGCCTTGTCAGATCAGCAACTTTTGTGGGGAGCGCAGGGTGTTCATCTAATCTGCAGGCGATGGGCTAGCTAGATATACATGCCCGGCCGTCATGGTTCTTTTCTGCTGCTGACACTAGTGGCAGTAGCAGTTACTAATTTCTTTGGAGAAGATCAAAATGGGAGATACTAGGAGTATATTGGTGAGTACCTCTCTCCTTGCTAACCTCATGGCACGGGCTACGTATGTCTTTGTTCAGACCTTTTAATTAACCTTAGTGCAAATGACATCCTACCTTCTACTACATTGCTAATCAGCTACAGTACATGATACCAAGCAAGGATATATGGATCAGTTATTTTGTGCATATTATTTGAAAGAAAAGTTATTTTGTGCACCTATAGGTTACTTCCGTTTTATATTTAAACTTCCAGACTGGATGCATTTCTTGCCGACCTTATAAGTAACATCACATCATTCATCGTACCCCGCCGCTGCGTTTCGGCTGGCCGGCGACGGATCCGGCGATGCCGGGTGCGGATCCGACTCTCCCTCGGCTCGCAGCACCCAATGCTCCCCTCGCCACCCCCATCCTCTCTGACGAACGATGCACCCCGCTCCACCTCGCCTCGCTCCCCACAGATCCTCCTCGACCCCGTCCTCCTGTGCGACCGGAGCCGGGCGGCCGCAGATCCGGCACCGGCGTCCCCTCCCCTCCACATCGGTGACCCGTCCTGCGCCTCCACCCCGCTCGCCCTCCCTGCCCCCGCCCCCCTGCGTGCCCGTCACGGACGGGCTGCGGCTGGTCCGGTGGATCCAGCGACGGACCCCTCCCGGCCTCCTC